GTGCTGCCTATCAGTGCAGCCTCATCAATGCACATCGGTGAAGGAGAAAAATTACCTGTTTGCAAAATTTTATAATAGAAACTTTTTTTTTTTTTCCACATTTTTTGCTCTTCTTTTTGTTTATAGTGCAAAAAATAAAACACCCAGTGGCGATTTAAATACCACCAAAAGAAAGCTTTATTTGTGTGAAAACAATGCTAAAAATGTCATATGGGAACAGTGTTGCATGACCGCGCAATTGTCCTTCAGATTGCGACAGCTCTGGAAGCTGAAAATTGGCCTGGGCAGGAAGGGGGTATAGGTGCATGGTAGGCAAGTGGTTAAGTTGGTTAAAAACTTTTATATTCCTATACCCACAGTTGATCCAGAGGAAGGCCAAAAACACCAGCAAAGCATGATCCAGGTTGCTCCTGCAGGGGAAACAATTCCTTCCTGAGAGGCAATTGGACATTCCCTGGATCAACTTTACCTTCTTAAAATCAGACTTGCATCCAGTTTTATTTAAAAGGTTGCAAGCATCATAAAACAGAACAGAAAATAAACCCTTGCCATCCAGGCACTAACTAAGCAGAGGAGATTCCTATCTCACAGATGAAGGGCTTCTCCCTGTCACCAACAAAACAGAACGCTATGCAAACCTTTTCCTTTCGTGTACAATGCAAACTTTCATCCACAGCTCTCTTAGGTGAGGCTCTCTGAGTCCCAGGACAAGAGAAACCTCTTGCTCCAGTCCTGCTTGATTTATACCACCTGCTGGTGGTCATCATTGGATCACAAAATCCGGTCCAGAACCAACTCTGCAAAAGTGGCCTGGAAAACCTGGACTAGACTCCACCTTAGTCTCCCAGATATGAACGCATGTGAAGTGACACAAAACGTCCATCAATCACCTCGCCTTTCATAGTGTCACACTATAAATGTTCGCATCCAGTTATATTATGTGTATGTAGGAAAAAATCCAGGCCTTTTTTAAAGCAATCTACTTAGCTGGTGAGAAATAACTCTTGAGGGAGTCTATTCCACATTTTTACAGCTGTTGCTGTGAAGAAACCTTTCCATGTTTGGAGATTAAATCGCTTTTCCTCCAGACGTAAAGAGTGCCTCTTGTCCTCTGTGATGACCTCATGGTGAATAACTCTACATGTTGATCATATTCCCCCTTAATCACCTCTTCTCAAGAGAGAATAAATTCAGTTCCTCTAATCTTTCCCCATAGATGAGCCCCTCCATGCCTCTCAAATTGCCCAATATTTTTTTTGTGAATTGGTGCCCAAAACTGAACTGCATATTCCAGATGAGCTCTTACTAATGATTTGTACAGGAGTAGAATATCTCTCTCTAGAGTCTATACCTCTTTTAATAAAAGAGTGCACTCACATTAAAAAGTGTCCTGCTGGGACACTGGAGTGAAACTGTCTGTAAATTCTGGAAACCTAATTTCAATATGCTTAGAAAAAATTCCAAGATGGTGGCTCGTAAACTTCCGGTATAGCAGCTTGACATCATCGGCCCACCCTACGCGTTACGTCACACCATGTGACTTCCTCAGTTTTCACTGCAGTGTCCCAGCAGGACACTTTTAATGTGAGTGCACTCTTTGTTTTAAATAAATATAGTATTCAAATACTACACTATGTTTAAGCATTTTTGTTTGCATATATGGAGGATATGTTCGTTAAGAAGGCAGTGAAGTAATTCGGAGGAGAGTGAGGAGGAGAGTGGATTGTGAAAAGCCTCATACAACCCAGGTTAAAAGGGAAAAGCGCTATTTGACCTATGTAACATGGGTCAAACAAGGAGGTGAGGGTACAAATGTATGACATTGGTGGAGGAACACATATATAAGTGTGATTTGTGGACACAAGAAAAAATGAGCACCTGCTTGTAGAAGATTTAGGTTATAGGCACTGAATGTTTCACATATGAAGGACTGTAGTCTATTATCGGATGCTATCTTAATAGTTGTATAGTGTATGAGCTGCACTATATTGAGGCACTTTATAGTTATTGCTGTTGTATACAGTAGATGGTGATAATTGAATAGGCATACCTAATAAAGATCTGAGTGTACAAAACACTACCGCTGGAATGGATCACAAATATTCTATGTTGCTTATTAAAGGAGACATCCTGGATAGTAGAACCTGCAGGAGTTTCCTTGCTAAGCTCTACATATACAGTATATTTCTTTCTGATATTATAACCACATGAATACATTTTGTATAAAGGAACTAGGCGCATATCAAGCAGGCATGAACTACAAACATATTATTTCTGCTGATTTTAGAACAGCATAATATATGAAAACCGTTGCCTCGAGGAATGAGGGCACACCAAAAAAAACTAATCATAAAGGTAGACAGGACAGCACACATACAAATCCAGACTTCAGAAGCCCTGAGTATTCTTACTTGACTGAGGCAGGATATTATCTAGGTATTTATTGTGGCACTGAAGAAAGTTGTATTAGAGGCAAGCATACAAACGACAGGACACATTTTTATCAGTGCAGATACTGGGCCATTTTGATGATAAACATTATTTCAAGATCTAAGCTAATCCAAGCTCTTAGGGTGGCTTTTGTGGACCATCAGGAGAAAAGTATTTGTCTAGAAGGCACAGAAATGGAAAAAACAAGCCCCCCCCCCTCCTCCCCTTCATACCCCACAGTGCGACTCACATGAATAGAACCAGTGAAATGCTTCTCTTACCTTGATACAAAGGTAATTCAGAGAATGATCTTGGCAAAGAAAGTAAAGCATGTATGATTGCCAAAAGATGTTATAGTGTGCTAAAACAGGTCAACTCTAGTTTTGTGTCAAACACAACAAAGGTGAGATTGTATACATTCTTTGTAAGATCAAATGTCATAAATGGATCTGAATGTTCTACAAGTTACAAGCAGATATGAAATGGCTTTATTTCAAAGGAAAGTGATTTAGTACATTCTGGGAGGCATACTTAAAAGCAAAATTTGTAAATTGGGGTATACCATTAAAGCTAACGGTACTAGGCTGTCAGGAATAAAATAATTAAAAAGGGCTGGACATATTGACTGTGTGACTTTTAGATCTTATGCCATAGGGAACCCAGGAAAGCGGTATTGGGTAGAAAAATCACCATTAATGTTGTAAGAACTATATTATTCTGGTGATGCTGATCTGTACTCGAGGACAGAAATAAATGAAGGGTGTTTCTGCCTGGAAATCTTTGCTCTCTATTAGCTTTAGCACCTACAATCATGTAACTTACAAATTTTTGTGTGTATTTGTTATTTTGCAGTGTGCCTTTTACACTGCATGTATATATGGTTTAGTGTATTTTTGCTTTTTTATAAACTTCTATTTATTTGTGTGTGCTTTTGTACCTCCTAATTTAAAGTGATGTCATACTTACCTGCTCAGAACAGCCCCAATCCTCCTTATCTCCCCCACTCCCGTTTACCCCACACACACCAAGTGTCCAACATAGAAAGCTACTTACTATGGGGTCACTTGTGTGGGCTTGCTCTTGAGATGGCTGTGTGTGTCTATAAGAGACTGTGACTCAGCCCCACCCCACACTCCCTCCTCAATGCCTCCCACTGCTTTCTCTAAACCAATGAGAAGTGAGAGAGCCTTGGTTCTCATGCACATTGCTGGATCAAGATCAGGTGAGTATGGGGGGGGGTGTGTTAAGGGGGAAAGCTGCACTTAGAAGGTGTACCTTCATACATTAGCATGCAAAAACCTTCTACCTTCACAACCACTTTAAATGTTTGTGAATGGTCTGTTAATGTGGCAATTTGTATGTAAGTTTCTTGTAATGAAACTAGATTTTAAGATAAATTAGGGAAAGATTAGAAATTCTGTCAGGTTTTTATTGCTGTCCCCAGTGGGGAAATGCTAACTTATTTTCTGTCCCAGTAATTTCTGGCTCCAGGGCAGCAATTGAGTAGCAATCTCCAAAGCAGGGCCGTGGATAAGAGAGTACCACCAGTCTTCCTCTATGGGGCCCAGGTCAGAAGGGGGGCCCAGGCAGCTGGGTGAATCAGATGTGGAGAAGAAGGGTGATCAGCAGTGCACGGAGGGAAATTACTGGAACTGATCCCCTGTATGGCTCTCTGCAGCAGCTCCTCTCCCTCCATACAAGGGATCGGTTCCAGCAATTGCCTCCCCGGTGCACCCATCACCCCTGCAGTGCTGCCGGCTTACCTCCTCTCTTTTCTACCGGCAGCTGCAAGTACACAATCGGATCCATCAGGATGGAGAGTGGGGGAAGGGTCTGCTAAATGTCACATTTACCAGCCCCTTCCTTTCCTGAATGAATGAACACAATGCGTGAACGGTACCAGTCACACACTATGTTCATTCATAACTGAAGCATAGTAAACTGCTTCAGTTTATGGGGGGGGGTGTCAGTGGCCTGTCAGGTTGGCTGTATGGGGCCCTGTGGTTTCTAACAGCAGCCCTGCTCACAAGTGAGTACAAAATTCCAATAAAAAAATAAAAACCTTCTGTATCTTCTAAAATTGTTTTATATTACTGTCTGCTGACTCTAGTGTCACAAGTTTAAGGAAGAATCTGCATGGCAGATAACTTTGACACAAAGCCTTGTGCTGACCCAAACAAAATAAAATTTTGACTAGAGTTCCATTGTTAACACCATACCTGTAATATATGGCACCTAGATCTAGTCATGAGTTGAGGGAAAATGTTAAAGGTAGGGTTTAGATGTAAGCAGTGCAGGCTTCCATAGAAACTGTTTGTTAATAATTTCACACTGCACAGTGAATTGACACTTTTATGGCAGTCATCCTGCTTTATAAAAGAGCACCTTTACCAAAGACAAAACCTTTCTGCTAACTGTAGCTTGTAGTATTATTGTTATAGCTGTCTGGCGCTGTATACTTTTGTAACTCAGTGTTCAATTAATGCATCATATATATGTTGTGCAAGGCTTTTGTTTACAAATTTGCATGTCCTAAAAATCTTGAGTAGTATCCTGGTTGTTCTTTCCAGCAATCTCCGATGGCGGTGAGGATGACGAAGGTAGCACTCTCATTGCAAGGAAAGTTGGAGAAGCTGTACAGAATACATTGGGAGCTGTTGCTACAGCCATTGACATTCCTCTGGGTATGTTATCATGTTTGTAAAGTACTACTTTTTGCATGTGCATAGATTATTCACATCAGTCCCAGCCACAGTAGAGGTTACACTTGACTGTTATTTCCAGAGACAAACACTAAGGTCCATTGGCTGGATCCTAATTAGTTTGATTAATTCTTACCTTTAATTTTCTCTTTTTCATAAAAGGATAACTAAACTCCAAATATTATTATAGTGCAGATTACTAATTGGTAGATGTGGTGGCTGCGTTTTTTTTTTTTTTTTTGTTTGTTTTTGTTTTTTTTTTCCCCCCAAGCTTTTTTTGGCATGTCTATAAAATACCTGTTGATTTTGCCAGAAATGCAGTGTCCTTCATGTGAAATGAATTGAAAGTAAAAAGATTAACAAAAGGCACTCATGTTTCAGCCTAATGAGACAACCATAGAGCAGTGGAGTGTGCCATACGGGCACAGGAAGTGTTATATTCATTGGATTAACATGTGAAGAGAAAGCCTAAAAAAAGAAAACTAGTGCAACCACCACATGTAAGGGGTAATAAGCTGCAATATATTACATGTTTCTTTTTGGGCATAGATGCATTTTAATTGAGAACATTTTTTTTCGAACTTCATATTTTTTCTTTTATCTCCACACCTGTACAGAAAAAGCTTCTCAAAACCATTTGTCAGGGACAGATGACATTTTCCCAGATCTCTTCATATGCAGACAAAATAATTACATTGATTGTGTAGCTGCCAGAAAGTCAGGAAAACATGACCTGTCCCTAGGAAACACTGGTGTACAACGTGATCATCCTGCCAAGTAAATAGAAGTCAAAATTTTATAGGCTGCTGAGTGGCACTAAATTGAAGTAAACCGTGTATCTAGAAAATGTATGTAATGGACTTTTGGTTTTTGTAATCCCCAATCTTATGTGTACTAACAAAGTAGTGTCCCAAACCCCTTTAATACTTGCTCCTCATAAGCAGTGGTAAAGACCATAAACATTTGTTCCATCGACTAATTCTGGTCATGCAATTATTGCACATTTCAGGTATCTTAAACCAGTCTCTGCTCCAAAAAATGTCCAAAGGATGAATGTAACCAATCAACAATTAGATAAATATATTCACCCAACTAAGCGCTACAGACATTCAATACCCCAAAAATATTAATACAATGTGCAATATCGCTGAAGCCTTCTATTCAATCTATCCAAAATATATAACCATATAACCATAAAAACATAAAAAAATGTGTGTTATATCAAGAACCACTGTAAAAACTAAAATGATTAAGTGTATGAAAAATAAACATTAGGCCATCCTGCCACAGTTCTAAATAAACTTTAAAGTCCACTCTTTCCACCATGAAAAGTGCTCCAGTTCTCAAATAAAGATTAGTCCAGCCTGCAACAGTTTTAAATAAACTTCTCAAGAAAGTTCAATTTCTCCACCTTGGAAAAAAAAGTACTCCAGAGCTCAAATACCTCTCCCCAGCCAACTAGGACTCACCAGACACCAATGCCTCTCTTTTTACGGATTGGCATATCACGCTTCTACAGATGACTTCCATCTAATACGGCTTTCGGTCCTGACTCCTCCTCTCTTGTGGAACTCCCTATATGATAAACAAGAAAGAAAAAAGGGGCTCCAATAGTGTAAAACTGTTTAACTAAAATGCGCTTTATATATATTAAAAAGACACTCACAAGAAATTAAAACAATCCAGCATTAATCCAGTAACTCAGCCTGCATGACGTATTGTGCCACAAGGAACATTAAACTGTGGTCTCCGTCTCATCCGATATTCGCTGCATCTCTTCAGGCACCACCACTCGTGTTAAATCTGGTTGCTGCTCGACCAGCACCCCAGTATTTCATCTATTCTGACTTTGTCAAGGGGATGGATCCCTTGACACGGCAGAGAGAGTGAACTTTTTTGAGAAGTTTACTTAAAGTGGTTGTAAACCCTTACACATACCCAAAGAAATACTCCTATATAAGTTCTACCTGTTTTTTTATCTACAGCCATCTGTCCCCTACATCCATTCAAAGTACAGAATTTACACAGGACCTCTCAGCTGAAAAACAGGCGGGGGGGAGGAGAGCTGATTGGAGGGAAGGGACACACTCCTATTTACACAGGAAGAGAGCTGAGGCTGTCAATCAGCTGGAGCTTCCTCCCCTGTCACCTTTTTACCTCTTGGTGTCAGGAAAACTTGTCAGAAGTGACTTGGAGAGATGGCAGAGGAAGGAGGTAGCAGACAGAAATGACACTTTGTGCCCTGGAGTGAGAAGTACACACTATAGAGGGATATGATTTGTTCATATTTCATGTCTGAGGGTTTGCAGCCACTGTTGCAGGCTGGACTAATCATTATTTGACGACTGGAAAGCCTTTCATTCATGGTGGAATGACTGAACTTTTGAATTTATTTAGAACTGTGGCAGGATGGACCAATCTTTTTGTTACACACCTGCTCACTTTTTTTTTGTTTTTTTAATTTTTATTTGATATAATGCACATTTTATGTTTGCAGCACCTTTTGTGTTACATATCAACAATTAGAAACTACTTTAGACAGTGAAAGAACAGCAGCAGACTGTCAAGGTCATCTCTCAGCTGAAGCTGGCTATACACTAGTAGATTCAAATTTGACGGTGCTTATCGACAGCAGTGATGAGAAAATTCAAAGGAGCGGGATGGAACGTTTTTTTCCAAACAAGCAACAGTGAATATGATTTTCGTTTTGAGAGAATACATTCACTCCAATATTGAGTGTTAAAATGAAATGATTTTTTTAATGTAACATTAATCAGGTCATCAAATGTAGATTAGATTTCTGAACAAATTTTTGTGTAAAAAGTCTCCTTATGTATGGCCACAGCTTTACTTTGTGCTCTCCTAATATTAGAATGTTCCTTGACAACGTATTTTCATGCAGCACACCTGTCTGGCTTCTAGTGCTGCCCCTCTCTTTCAATCTGAGTGCTTCTGTACAGGATGGCAATGCCCTTAGGCCTATGCGTGTTGAAGTCTGCTGCAGGGAAAAAAGTCCCTGACCCTATCCAAAAACGCAGTGGCTGAAAACACATATGTGAACGTGTCCCATAGGAAACCATGTTAAAATGTTAATAAACCCACAACCGTAAAATCAGTCTGTATATGCAGTAAAACATGCCTTTTAACTCACTGTGGAGCCTAAGGGGTTAATCCTCTGCACTGCGTAAAAAGGCTGTTTGATCCGATCTTCTCTGCTTCTCCTCTTGGTCAAATGTCCACGTCTCATCTCTTGATAAGACAGACTGAACCCGTAGCCACATGCACATGCTCAGTTTAGTGTGCATTGCTAGAGAGGTGTTTTTTTTTTTTTCTTGGGAGAGTGCATGTGATCAGCACGGGGCCAATCAGCACTGTCCAGACAGAGGTCAGGGGTTTTACATCCTCTTAGAGCAGAAAGAAAACTCCTTCTACAAGCTTTAACTAGTGTTCTGCTGAAGTCACAAGACTGCTCTAACTGCTGATGAGAAAAGTTATTTAGCAGTTTATATTTACTAAAATAATTGCACTTCCATGTTCTGTGTACTTTTTAGGGTCTTGGGTTTAGTAACATTTTAAATGAACTGTAGTGAGTTTCTGCAAAACACAAAAAGCACTAGACGCATAGGTGTGAACCAGGCCTTAATGTGTCTTTTATATCTCGCTGGATATCTGCTTTAATCTTGCAAAATCAGATCTTTCGCTGTCAGTTAAGTAGATTCATCATACTTTCACATACGTCTTGCCTTAAAATCAAACTGCTAGTAAGTGTTCCCTGCAAAGTAAATGGGGGGAAATAAACCCCCCCCACACACCTATTTGCCTCCCAAAAATTCAGACTTCCAGGTTCCCACTCTGTTCAGTTATTCTTCCTGCAAATCCTATATTACTACTGTGGGGTTCTTTTATTTCCTTTTTTGCAGAGGGCATTTTATTAGCAATTACATTTTTGAATGAGAATCACTTTAAGGCCAGAGATTTGTTTTTAATTTTTAGAGTTCTTTTGCTGATTATTTGTAACATTTTCTTAATAAAAATTTAGGACTTATGAAAGATGCTGCAAGACCTACGTACTGGATTCCGGACCATGAGATCACAGATTGCTACAACTGCAAGAAGGAATTCAATGTCAAACTCTCTAAACACCACTGCAGAGCCTGTGGTCAAGGTTTCTGTGGTGACTGTTCAAATGATAGAAGACCAGTGCCCTCTCGCGGTTGGGACCACCCTGTCCGTGTCTGCATTAACTGCACTAAGAAGCCTGGCGATCTATAACACTTTCTTCCCCTTACCAGCAGTACCTACTCAGGGCTAGATCATAATGGATCCAATCTTCCTCCTTTAGGCTTTTGTGCCACTGCATGCTTGACCTGTCAGCTGTAGTCTCCCCCATGACTGTATCGTCTTATTAAACAAAATGGCGCCAAACTCGCTCTGTCCAGGAGACAATACAGCATATAATCTGCACTTTTTTATTGTTGAAAGAAAAATAAAGTATAATGTAAACTTGGTAATCAGTACGAAATTGTCATATGCACCTTGGATGCTGGATCTCATCTTCAATACCCTTATGATATCCTTCAGTAAGAAGGCTGGAATCACCGTACCCTTACTGTCCGGTTCAGTTTATCACCATTTTAAGAGGATCCTCTTCAACATTTGCAGCATCACATTGTTTAAATTTGATCACATGGATAGAAATTCTAGTTCAGTGTGTGTGTGTGCACGTGTGTGTGTGTGTGCGCGTGTGTGTGCGCATGGGGGCTATATTTTAAAGGCTTTATCCATTAATGTTAATATTCTTAGGGAGAAAAAAAAAACAAGTTTGCCTTGCCCCAGTGATCATTTAGCTATTGTAACAAGGATTATTCAGGTGAATGTTTGTGTTGCTATGTATGAATATCAAGCCAAATTTTTTAGAAATGTATATTTATTGCCCGTGTTCCCAGAATATATAAACAAATATAAAAAATTACTTGAATCATGGTTTTTAGTGTAATAATGTACTCCAAGGTGGTCTTTGTCCTTAAATTTCTTGTTTTATTTAAGGCGTTGTAAGAATGTGACCGTATCCCACACTGTACTCGGGTAGCTAAATAAAACAAAGGAAGAAAATGCTAATGACTATAGTATATCAAAACTCAAATACAACAATTGCATATATTGCACCTTAGCAATCCTTTAGATGTGATGGCTACATACAAGGGGTGGCCCTTTAGGATTGGTAAATGGCAATATATTAAATTTTTTGCTTTTGGATTTAGATATATTTTTAACTCTAGGTAATGGCTAGAAAGCCACAGTTGAAACACATATATGTGAACTGTGCTGTCTTCCAAAGCTATTGTCATTTTTGTATAGCTATATTTGTGAGTCCTACAGCTAGGGGAGTGACACCCTTACTCTTTGCCTTGAGGCATTTAGCGGTGTCGCCTCCTGCTGACTGGACAACAAAGCAACACAATCCTAAATCTGTTCTCTGATAGTAGTACCCATTCAGATGCTTATACTAGTTGTATGGGGCAAAAAAATTTATTTTTATTAATCCCTTCCGGCCCACCCCAGCATCCCTTTAAATCGTTCTGAATCACTCGGCGATTATGTGACTGTCATGGTGGTCACATGACCAGAAAGTGGGCCTGCCGGTTACTGATCTTTTGTCTAAAGCGGGAGCTGTATTAAATTACTATATTTTTTTTCATATTTTGACTTGTCAACCATTGAAGCCTTACTTCTCTGATTTTCTCCATTCTATGTATTGGTTGTCAGACTTATAATTTTCTTTAGCTGTGGCCAATTTCTTACATTGGTATTTCGTTCTTACAGCTTTCCTTTAAAGCTATTTTTCTATCTCTGTAGTTCAAGCTTTAGAATGTGTGGTCTGGGCCAATGGGGAGTCCAAAAATGTATCAGAACATTCCTTTCTGTTTTGATATGACAGGTGGTTTCTTGTATTTAATTTATTGTTACATACTGTCTTGTTGGAATCCATTTTATTCATATATGACGGAGTAGTAAATTGTTTTATTTTATCTGTAAGTGCCTTTTAAGCAATTTGTAAAGAGAAAAGTCATCCGTTTTATTTCTCCACCTTCTTTTGCAGATATACATCCATAAAGGTTCAGAACGCATAACAATGTTGTTTTAGTATGCTTACTACTGATTTGGTTGTAACATCCATTGTATTAGTATGCTAATGGTGAATTAGGGCATTTTTGGTTTAAAAGGGTTTCTCCACTGAGCTGCAAATATGCTTTCTCTTGCGTTCATTGATGGACACAGCTGGTGCTTCTTAATCTATAGCAAAACAGTGTTTTATAGTCCCACCTACAGGAGTAGGACACTAGGCAGAAAAAAAAAAAATTCGCCTCCTGCTTTGGCAGTCCTCTCTGGGCATAAAACCCCCTTTCTCATATGAGACTCCAGTCATTCTACCTAGTGTCTCAGGAATATGGACATGACTTTTTTTTTTTTTTTTTGCTGGGACTGTTGGTCCTTTAGCCTTAGATCTTCTGTCAACAGTCGAGCTGGATAATATAAAGATCCAGTGGTCAACCAGTCTGACGTGCGCAGACTGCTAGCTCAGTGCTCGACAAAGCACCATTCTGGACCAGGGGGGGGGCCGGTGAGGTAATAGCCACGTGGGGAAACGTATGACCAGGCGCCTATAGTCTGTGTCACAGTGTTACCCCTGGCTGAAAGCCCCCCACTTTGGTGGAAAGGAGGATCTGTCACAGGAGCCTTACCTGCACGCTCCAATGGATTTGTAAGTAGATGCCTCCCCCTCCATTCCCCGGACACGGTTTGAAGTGCGTGTACTCCCTGGGGGTGGTCGATCCTGCAGGGTCCCCTCCTACCCTACAGGCCTGGGCTCCTGAACTACCATACTACCCCTACAGTGGGTAGGCTGATGGGTGGGGCTCTGTGGAGGTGCTCTGGGAAACCACCATGCTTGTTGGCACTTTCCCCGGTTTTCTCCAATAGGCTAGGCTGGTTTGTGGCTTGTCGAGGATGGCGGGGGGGGGGGGGGGAGGGGCTGCAGCTATGCCTCACCAGTCTCTTACTGCGGGAGTCCCACAGTGCCTTGACCAGCTGACCTGTGTTGGCAGGAAGCAAGGGCTGCAGCCAGGTTAGCCTTGGGCCCTAGTGCCTTCGGTGGTCCAGAGGGGGCCTTCAATTGGCATTGGAGGCTCAGTCTAGGTTCCCCACTGCTGGGCCAGTGCTTCGGCCTAGGTTGGTCATGGTCTTGGGACTTCAGATGCTGACTGAATGGGCCTAGGTTTTGTGACCAGCCTTGGTTTCTAGCCAGATGCCCCAAGCGTATGCGGACGAACCAATGGTCCATGGTCTAAAATGTTTGTGATGCATCGCATGACGCAGCTCTGTTTCTCTCTAAGCCTTCTGTTTTCAGAGGTGGGATTGAGATGGGTCCTTTGGCTCCTGTGTGGCTGACCAGACTTCCAGGCTGGTCTTGGCGAACCTGCTCTTCTGGAGTGTCTGTCTGTTTGGAGCTACACGGGAGGATATTATCAAGAAACTTACACCCTTCAAGACCTCCACGGGTGGCTCCCAGCGTCTTTGGCCCTAGAAGCTTTCTAAGCCGCAGATTACTCCCCATCAGCACAAAGGTGCATCCACCCTCTTCCAGGGTGGGGTGGAGGGGTCATTTGCTTATTTTTGGGCCCTTGGACCTCCCTTGTTCCTGACATGTGGGTCCACCATGGCATTCCCTCAAGCTACAAGATAGAATTTCTCTATCTTGTAGCTTTCTGCCCTTTCTGCCGTACAGATTTTTTTTTTTTCCCTCTCCAGTCTGTGGCTCTTTCTGACTCATCTGCAGGCATTGTACAGGGCTGTGCAGAATCTTCTTCTTTTGAGGAGTGATTTTCTTTTCAGGGATGCTCAATCTCATGTGCAGCGTTACCCTTCGTTTAGGCCACCGCTTCGTTTAGTGCCTACCAAGGTTTTGGCCCTGGTCCTGGCCTTGCTGAGACAACAAAGGGTGGCTGTGATTGACTACCTGGATGCCTTGTTTGTGCATGGGGAGACTCTCTCATCCTTGTCGGATTGTGTGGGGATCAACTAGGGGCATATCATGAAATCAGTGGGCCTGTATTCAAGATCAAAATTGGGCCCTAGGCATTGTCAAAGAAAAAATGCATTGCATGAAGCGTAGGTGTGGTTTAAAGTGCACAAAAAAGGGGTGTGGTTAGTGTCTGAGATGACTTGCATAGTGCCAAATGTGGTAATGTTAAATAGGGAATTTACAGCGTGGAGTGTATGAGGGTAGTATGTACAGGGAGAGGAGTGCGGAGTGTATGGTGGTGGATAGTATGTGCAATATGGTGTCAGTAGTTTATTTTTTTTTTACAATTTTATTATTTTTTTTTACAATTTAATGTTTTATTTTTATCATTTTTTCAAAATGCTTTTGGGTGGCCAGTGGATGGGGTCAGTAGAGCAATGGAGTGGATGTCAGAATTTTTATTATTTTAATTTTTTTTTTTTTGTTTGTATTTATTTCAGGTATTTCTATAGCACCATCAATTTTGCGCAGCGCTTCACATATATGTTGTACATTCACATCAGTCCCTAACCCTCAAGGGGTGTACAATCTAAGGTTCCTAACTCACATTCATACATACTCATACTAGGGACAATTTAGACAGGATACAATTAACCTACCAGCATGTCTTTGGAGTGTGGGAGGAAAGCGGAGTACCTGGAGGAAACCACGCAGGCATAGGGAGAACATGCAAACTCCAGGCAGAAGGTGCTGTGGTTGGGATATTTTTTTACACAATGATTTTGTGGGGACAGTGGAGAGTGAACAGGGAGCACCAGTATATATTGGGCTATCCTTAGATTGGAATGAATAAACAGAGCTTGTACCCCCTTATATCACACATCCCTATCACAGTCCCCCTTACATCAGATGTCCCCACATGGGACCAACTACTACTATAGGCTGATAACACAAAACTAAACTTCTTTGGCTGCACTCATGAATGCTATTGTTGGAGGACGAATAGGAAAGGGGGGGGGGGAAAGAAATGAAGGCATGAGGGAAAGAATGCATGGATGGAGGGAGGCAAGGAAGGGAATGGAGGGAGGATGGAAATGGAGGAAAGAAGGGAGTGAGGGAGAGAATGGCTTAAAGAAGGGAGGAAGAAAAGGGAGGGAGGGCATGGATGGAGGAAGAAAAAGGAGGGAGAGAATGGATGAAGAAAAAGGAGGGAGGGAATGGATGGAGGAAGGAAGGAGGGGGATGGAGA